GACCACAGAAACAGCTGTCAAGACAGCTGAACATGGGTGGACCCATCACACCTGGGTGAAGGTCTCTAAGGCCCCAGAGATTTAGACATCTCAGCTGGAGGAGAAGGACAGGAGGCCATGACTGACACTCCGCAGGAGTGAATCGGAGCAGTAGCCAATGCGCTGACATCAGGAGAAGGCCTGTGTGCCTACCCACAAACTGCCTGCTGAAATAGTCTGTATGGGCATCCTTCCCTTCAAATATCCAGCCATTGGGGGACAAATCCTTGCTGTCATTGTTTTCTGTTAAGTGCTTTCTGTGCCTTCACTCATCACAGGTGGTGTGGATGACAACTTGAGAATTAGATTAGGTAATTAGATTACACCATTAGAATGTTTTTCTTAATATTAATAATCCTACTTTTATATTGTCAGTTAGATTCAGGCCAGAGGTAGAAGAATTGTTTTTTTAGTCCTAGGAAAAGAAGTAACAAAAACCTTTAACCTGAGCAATTGTTGGGTCTGCAGATAGGCCAGGAGGATCTGAAGACTGGCCATGGGTGGCCAGCCGAGTCGAACCTAAATGGTGGGTCAGCACCCTGAGTAAAGTCCATAATGGGATGGGATTTTGGGATGAGGAAGGAAGTCCATGGTGAGTTCATTCTTCTGAAAAAGGCATTTATTGTCTAAATAAAACAGAGGACATATACATGGAAAAAAGTATTTGTGACTGGACTTTATATTTGGGTTTAGACTGTTGGACCCCCAACTGCTCTCCTTACGATTGTTCCAAATATCAAGGCAGATGGAATCAAACACATATTAAGCTCACTAATGGTATCTGGGTAAGGTGTTCCTACCATAATTACTGAAGAGATTTTGAAGGCTGTAAAGCAGTGGGGAGGGACAGGTGCCGCTCTTCTTCCCCCCGGCTAGCTGATGACAGGAGGCGGGGAGGTGGCAGAACCCCCCTCGAGCTCCGTTGAATCCCAGGTGTCAGCTGTTGGCGCCTCATAAACCACAGGGGCGCACACGGGTCCCAGGGTAACTTTATTTGATGGTAAACTTCCCCTTTTCTTCTCCCAGGACCCCGAACAAGGGGCAGACAAGAACTTATATGTGGGGCAGGTCTCAGGGGAGGGTACAATCTTTAACAAATCAGAAGAATTGGAAGTAAAAAACCAGGCGGGGATTACAATGTATAAACCAATAAAAATCCCAAGGGAGGAGAACAGTTTCAGTAAACTGACAAAATTTGGGGAAATAGAAACTAGCAACTAACTGACGAAAAATCTGGGAAAAGGCGGGGACAAAAGGGAAACAGCATAAAGAAAACTACCAAATTACAAATCAAACAATAAACCTACTAACAAAACAAAAAGCACACTGCAACAGACAGTTTTTTTGATCCCTTATTTTTAAGCTCCCCCGAGATAATTCCACAAGTAGGACACATGTTGTCCATGATTATCAGTGGAAGTGGCAACACCAGAATGGAACTTGAACCCTTTTTAATAGGTTCTGGTCCAGATCTAACAAAACAGATCTGGGATGTAACTGTAGGTGAAAACTGTTGTGGTTTGAATTTATTTTATTGATTCCTTGTTAAGTGGTTCATTCTGTTGTGCCCCCATGTTCTCCCTGAGTTGGTTTACCCCTGGGTTTTACCCTCCCTCAAAGCCCCTCATATCATTCCCCACCCCTTGTTCCAACTCTTTCCCTGCATGTCAAGGCAACCCAGCCCTTTTGTTGCCAAACCTTCCCTGCCACTCTCACCTTGGGCCAATCCCTGACTACACCACCCCTTTGAAATGCCCCTATTCCTTGAAGCCCCATTGGCCCATGTGACCCATCCTCTCCACCCTCCTAACCCAATTGGCCCCAGACATTTGATGTAATCCCCTCACTCCTCCCCTGAGGATTCCCTATTGGTTAGCTGTTTGTATCCACCCCCTGAGTTGTATCTGTATAAAACCCCTTGCACAATAGTGCTCAGTGCTTTTTCCTTATGTTCCCTTTACTTAGAATAAACCCTTCCTTGTGGAACCTCAAAATGGAGAGCCTCCTCCTTTCTCTTCTGCCTGGTCCCTGTCGTGGCTTGTATCTGGCACCATAGAGCAAGTGTCTCTAAAGGTTCTGCCTCTGGTAAATCCCCATACTGAGGCAGTTCCCCACTCCTGGCACAGCATCAGAGTTCTAAGAGCTAGCCCAGGCTCCAGTGGGCTGCATCAGGAAACCTCATGTGGGAGCTAGGAAATGCAAATATTGTGATTCTTATGGTGGGGCAACTATTGTTGGAGGACTGTTAGGCCCAGGAAGCAAGCTGTATTTTGACCCACCAAATCATGATGAAAAATGGAAAAGCTCCTTTGCCAATGGAACCTGGACTTTGAAAGCACATTGTTGGATTTGTGACGAACATGCTTATTGAAGGCTACCTCCAAACTGGTCAGGGATATATTATACAGGGTATATTACACAATTGTTTTTTTTTTACTACCACAAGTTCAGGAAAATCAGTTAGGGATCAAAGTATATGATCTATTAGCAGAAGTTAATGAAAAATTAAATTACTCAAATATCTGTTTGCAAATAGATGACAACGGAAAAGTAGTAAAACAGATAACAAAAAAATTAAGAAAGCTCATGTATTGATGCCTTAATTTTTAGCTTTCATATTCCTCAGATTCTGTGCTGCCTAGGTATGTAGTTCTGAGCTTCATATTAAGTGTCAGTAAGTTCTCTTCACAGGGTAGTTAGACAAAACAATCCTTTTCCAGCTTGAGACCAAGGACAACCATTACAAGTTTCAGGCCCAAAAAGCATAGACAACAGAGAACTGAAGAGAAAAAACAAGGAGGATGGAATGTCATAACCTAAAGCTGTAATTGGACAATTAACCCCAGTATGCAAATGGATCAAAACCTATAAAAGTGTGAAACCTCGTGACCGGTCATCCATTTTGTGACCATTTTGGGTCCCTCTTGGGTGTAGCCCTGGCCAGGCTCTTGTTCTGTCCAAGGTGTGTCCTTTTAAGGCCTTTCAATAAATACCTACTTTATTCTCTTAGCTCTGTCTAGTCTCTGTTCCAGGTCAGCCTTTTCAAGGCATCAGTTCCAGTCCAAACATAGAATACATGAGAAAAGATGGACATGTTTTTGTGGACTATGGGTTAAACCAATGCTGTTTTTCCTCTTATGTGCTATAGCAACTCTAATCTTTTTACAGTGCATGATACCTTGTCTAGTGCAGCTCATTCAGCATGTGATCAAGGGGATGCAGTAGTAGCCATGTCTACTGATCCAGAAATGGCTACAAAAGGACAGAAAATGAGGTCACTGCAAATAACCACAAAAAAAAAATCCAGGAAGAAAAAATTAAGACAATTATTTATAAAACAAGAAGAGGGGGGTTTGAAAGAAATGAGAGGGATGTGTCTTCGACCGGTCATCCATTTTGTGACCATTTTGGGTCCCTCTTGGGTGTAGCCCTGGCCAGGCTCTTGTTCTGTCCAAGGTGTGTCCTTTTAAGGCCTTTCAATAAATACCTACTTTATTCTCTTAGCTCTGTCTAGTCTCTGTTCCAGGTCAGCCTTTTCAAGGCATCAGTTCCAGTCCAAACATAGAATACATGAGAAAAGATGGACATGTTTTTGTGGACTATGGGTTAAACCAATGCTGTTTTTCCTCTTATGTGCTATAGCAACTCTAATCTTTTTACAGTGCATGATACCTTGTCTAGTGCAGCTCATTCAGCATGTGATCAAGGGGATGCAGTAGTAGCCATGTCTACTGATCCAGAAATGGCTACAAAAGGACAGAAAATGAGGTCACTGCAAATAACCACAAAAAAAAAATCCAGGAAGAAAAAATTAAGACAATTATTTATAAAACAAGAAGAGGGGGGTTTGAAAGAAATGAGAGGGATGTGTCTTCACAAACTGTGGGCCTGCTGGTAGATAAAGCCAGATACTGACTGATAGGTGAAAGAAGCAATGGGGGGGAACCATCAATTCCATAGCAATTTCACTAATTGACACAGACTGTTGCTCACTCAAGGCCATACTAAATTATTTGACTTAGGGGAAAAGAACAGAGATACAAAGAAAAAGAAGGGGGGGAGGCACATTAGAAGAGAGTCTTAGGTATTAGGAGATTCGGGAAGTCTGTACCCCTCAAGTACCTCAGTCAATGGGGAAAGAGAGGGACATGCGGCTGGGAAATTAGGATAAAAAGGAGGCTGTGTCCTCCAAAACTTTGAGAGACCCCAGGGGAAATGGCCCATAGCCTCTCCCTTTATTCAAATAAAGTTACAGGACTACTCTGTCTCTTTTTTGGACATAAATCTCTGACATCATGGATTAATTTTCCTGATAAACATAATCTGGCAATCTGAATGAGCTTTAATCTGTGACATAAATGACTCCTGCCAAAATCCTGGAGGGCAGAAAATAAAGGCCACTTTTTAAAAGAAGCCAAAAAAACTCAGAGCTCCTAGTTTGAACTGCTCCTTCGACCAGTAAGAGGTACTGATCCATGATTCTGAGCGTTCACCTTGTTCCTAAACCCATTCCACCATGGCCCAGGCTGTTTCCTAGGGTGCTAAGTCTTTGTCTCCCCACAGCCTGACAGATAGCTAAGGTGGGGCTGCCCGTCCCCGCACATACCCTTCCCTCTCGGGCTCCGCCAACGCATCAACCCTCCACGGAGCGACCCTAGGAACGGCTGCGGCCTTCTCTCAGTGCCATCTGCGGAGCAGCCGGCAACAGCGACGAGCCATTGCAGAGAAGACCCCTCACAGAGACGCACCCTACACCACCTCCCCTCAGCGCAGCTTTGAAGGGGTTTAGCCAACCCTTCCGCTGCGCGGGCGTTTGGGGGGAAGGGGCAAAGCCCTGGTTATATGCGTGCCAGGGCAGACGGAAGGGCTGGTGAGGAGTGGAGTGCGCAATGTGATGTCATGTGATGTCGCGTGGTGGGGGAGCGGCCTCACGTGTGCGTGGGGAAGGAGGGGGAGCCAGGCAAGTGGTCACGTGACTGTGGTGAGGCCACTGCTGCTTTGTGAGCACATTGGGCAGGTATCGCGTAGGGGGGCTTGGGTTGTCTCCTGCGGGGAGCGCGGGGTGAATGGATGGACGGGAATACGCGCGCGTCTGCCCCCTTCTTCGCTGCTTGCCCCGTGCGCGTGGTGGCTGTGGTGGACTTGCGCGCTCAAGGGAGGCCTGGTGTCCCTTCCCATCTTAACGGTCTGGGGGCGGCTGTTGGACCCTTAGCGGTCTGAGGCCCTGGGACGGGCCTGCCGCTTAGGGCCGGTTCCTCATTCTGGTGTGAGCTGTTGTCCTGCGGCGGCTGTCTGCTAGGACCGCCCTTCCCCGCCGGGCCTTCTGCCCCTTCCCAGCTGCGGGGGGAATGAGGGTGGTGGCGTGAGGGGAGGTGGCTCTGCCCTACTTATGCTGGCGGCCGCCCGAGGTATGCTTCGTCCTGCTCTAGATTACCACCTTTCCCCCTTCCCCCCATTTTCTCAGGGGCGCGGTTAGGGGACGCTGAGTAGGCCGCGGGTGTGGGTAGCTCCTGCCCCAGACGGGGTTCGTGTGGGGAGGGGAAGCCCACCTGATGGGTGTCGGGAGAGGTGGATTCATTTTCTGCCATTTTCTATTCTGAAGAGGAGGTCTTGTACCCCCTTCTCCTCATTTCTCATCTCGTTATAGCTG